CATACAGACACACATACACACACACATACAGACACACAGACACAGACTCACATACATACACAGACACACACATACATACACACAGACACACACACAGACACACAGACACACAGGCACACACACACAGACACATACACACAGACACACACACAGACACACACACAGACAGATACACGTACACAGATACACATACAGATACACAGAAACACATACAGACACACATACAGATACCCATACACAGACACACATACACAGACATACATACACAGACAAACATCACTCACATTGCCAGAAAGCAGTAAACGAAAGCCAGACATACCAACCCCCAATCCTGCTCCAGGAAACCCTCCTCTGCATCACTACAGGAAGGCACCTATCTGCCTGCCTGTATTTAAACAGCAGCTGAGTTAGTTGACAATTACACTAAGTCCTGAGCTTTCTTATAGTCCATACTCCAGTCCAGCTCTGAGGAGGCTTTCCCCAGGTGACTACTCAAGCACATGACAAGAGCTGCCGCCAAGGTGTGCCGCCACCATGTCTGTGCCCTGGCTCCTTCACCTGCATTTGTTGTTCTAATCATACCGTCACTACACTTAGGATCCCTGACCTAAAGACCCAGGAATCTGTAACAAGTTCAGAACTAGGACTTGGTATTGAAATAGTTTTTAATTGTTTCCAAGATAAAGGCAATAGTAAAAAGAAAGCTTAAACAATGGTCTGAATTTAGCACTAAAAGCACTTGGGGTATGAGTTGTTGGTAAAGGCCCTGTCTAGTAAGCTGATCTGATCTCAGAATGGTTTTTTTTTTCTGCCTCGTTTTCAAATTCTTTTTTTTTTTTTTGCATAATTCGGGAGATTGAACCTTGGGTCTCATGCATGCTAGGCAAACTCTACTACTAAGCCATAACCCCTGCCCCTGATGACTTCTTAGATGCCTTCATTTTCCCAAGAATTATTTTTATTTCTGTGTGGGGAAGTGGTTGTGCCACATGTGTGCAGGTGCCCCCTGAGGCCACAAGAGAGCATCAGACTCCCTGGAGTTGGAGCTGGAATTACAGGCAGTTGTGGCCAACCTGACCTGTATGCTGGTAACCCAGTGTGGGTCCTCTGGAAGGTCAGCAAGCACTGTTAACCACTGAGTCGTCTACACCCCCAGAAGCTGTAACCGAGTTATGCATAGGTGGCTGCCTGGCCTGTTCAGGCTGCTATAACACAATACCATAGACTGGGTGGCTTACAAACAACAGAAATTTATTGCTCACAGTTCTGGATCATAAAGAGGACACATGTCAGTAGATGTAATGTCTTTTGTGAGGGCCATTTTCTAGTTCAGAGATTGTTCTTTTTAGCTGTGTCCTCAGAGAGAAAGTGGGGAGTTGACCCTCTGGAACCCATAAAGATATTAATCCCAATATCCCAAAGGTGCACTTTAGAATTTCCACATGAATTTTGAGAAATGAAAATATCCAGACTATTATTTTATGAGATAACTTGGGAAGTCATGGTTTAAAGCGGCATGAAGGAGGAATACATGAGAGGGGGTGGGACTTCCAGAAGATGCCTGGGAGCCCAGCATGCTTACTCTGAGGGACTGTGTCACTAACAGGTTCTAAGTCACAAACTCTTAAACGTTCTTGAACTTGTAAATCTGGCTGCAAAGCAACTTATGTCAACATCAATTCCCAGCATCTTCTGTATGTTTCCCTTTCAAAGAGATGGCATAGAAATTGCAGGCCATTGCATGAGCCCAAGGTAAGTGTGCACATACTTTTGACAGATGCCACCTCCTGTTCCCCAAAGCCAACTCAAGAGTTGGCAGGAGCAAAGCCAGAGTCAGGCAGATCATTCATTTATTAACTTATGCATTTATTCTTTCAACAGATACCTGTTGAATGCCTACTGCATGTCTGCGTTGTTCTAGAAGATGGAAATGCGGCAAAAACTCCCTGTCATTATAGTGAGGAGAGCTACAGTGAACAGGATAAATTGCTATGCTAATTAGTATACAGGATGGAGGAAAGTGCTTAAGAGAAGAGAAGTGTGTGTGTGTGTGTGTTTGTGTGTGTGTGTGCGCGCGCGCATGCGTGCGCGCAAGTAAATGAGCATGCATGAACATGTGTATGTCTTGTAAAGTAACAAGGTTAAGTTGAAACTGAGACCAGCCTCTAAATTCCAAATCTTGAGTCACTCAGCATGCTCTGTGACCATGCTAGCTAAGCAGACATGCATCGGCTGGACAATACATGAGCTGAGATCTGGGGGGACATGGGAGTTTGTTCTTCCACCAATGCTCCTAAGTGGCATTGGCAAATTCGTTAACCTTTCCAAGTTTAAATTCCACTGCAGGATGAGAATTCACTGTCTATGTCCTACAGCGTTGCGGGGGTAGATGACAGGATGTGAAGTGACTCCTGGGGACCTCCTTCCAAGTACCCTCTAGTTGCCCTTTCCCCCCTACTCAGAACCACAAGGAAGGATGGCACCTGGAGATCATCCAGAATAAGTGACGTGTGTTTGGTGTCTCTCTTCTCACATATTCACAGTGTGAATACCCAGAGGTTGAATTACTCGCCCCCATTCCTTGGTTAGGGTTTCAGCCAGGCCACTTTTCCACTCAGTCACTTTAGGCCTGGATTTATGTTGGCTTTACTTAGGCTTGTGACCCGTTTTCTAGGTATTTTGCACTCTGGGCTTCACTATATCCAGTATATTGAGCCAGCAGCAAAAGAGCCTAGACTTGAATGCAGCCTGAGCCATGTCCACCAAGCCAAGCTATCCCCAGCCTCACTGCAGAGAAACACAATGTTTGTTCACCCCTGAGATTTCATGAATAACATAGCTGGCTAGTGCAAGTGGTGACTATGCAATCCATACGCTTAGTGCTCACACTGTACCAGGGAACGAGCAGGCCAGCAACCAAACATCTTCCTCAGCATTCTGATGACATCCTGCTAAGACACCACTTTCAGAACAAGACAAGTGAGGGTGGCAAGTTAAAGAAACATGTCCAAGGTCAGGGCTCATAGGTGAAAGCCCAAATTGAGTGCAGGCTTGCTTGCTAGCAAAGTCACGGATGTCATGTTCGTGTGCTTCCATGCAGAGTACCAGGGACAGTCAGGTGCAGCCCTGTTCCCTGAGCCATGGGTCTCACTATCCCATGAGTGAAACTTATCATTTTAACACATGACCTCCCACATCATGCATTAAACACATCACAAGGGCTGGGACATAATGACATATTATAACTGAGATGTTCATCTCTGGGAAGCAAAAGGAACAACCTTGAAGACGTCTATGACAACCTTCTCAGCACAGGCCAAAAGTCACTTGTGCCTCACCACTGCACACTGGATACTATGGCCATCAGTTTGCTCTGTAGCCACCTGCTAACTATGTGAAGTCATATGCCTGGACAGATGGTGGCGCTCCCGGAAGTACTCATTGCAAACGGGGCAAGTAAGAACTTCCTCTCTTCGTTTCTTAGACTGTGGATCAGGGCCCACATGCTCCCTTTTGTGGTGGGACCTCATGTGGAAGACCAGGTCAGCTGTCAGACGAAAGGCTAGGTTGCACTTCGCACACCAGTTCTGAGTAGACAAGCCCAGGGAGGAGAGTGTGGGCGGCAAGAGAGCCCGAGAGGCTGTGGAGGAAGATGCTGAGAATGCCGGTGCTTCCACCTGGCTGTGCTCCAGCCATGGTGTGGGAGCACCCTGGAAAGCATTGCAGAGTAGAATGTTCTGTGACAACGTGTGTAATTTCCAGAAATCACCCATGAACTTGAAAGTTGACAGATGAGCCCAATATGGAATGTCCACCGTGGTGATGAGTCCCGAGAGTTCCCATGAGCCCTCTGCACTTCCACCAGCCAGAAGCATGGGGGAGCGCTTAGGTTTCTCTGCTGCTGAGCGCTTAGGTGGCTTGCTGAACGCACTTTTCTGCTCACTCCGGCCTGCACCTGGCCATACTGAGCACCCTGTGCCATCACCTGAGGCTCTGGAGAGACTCAAGGGCAGCTGCTGAGTGCCAAGCTGTCCTTCTGGGGTCTCCGGCTTCCTCGTCTGGGCCTGGATGTCCCCTGGCCTCTCCTGGAGACATGACAGCTCTGGGCGGATATTCTGCCTCTGCTCTGTGCATGCCTTGCAGGTAAGAGGCCTGTTCAGTGGAGGCTTGTTCGGTGCTGTTGACAGGCTCAGTTCAGTATAGGCCGCATCTTGGCTACCCTTTCCTGTGGCAGTATCAGAGTCCACTGGGCTCATTTTCTTGAGCATCCCTGGCTGGGTCTGCTTGGGTTCCATGACCTTACATCTCTTCTCAACTGAAGGCCTCAGAGAAGCCCCTTTGCCCTCAGTCATGTGATCAGCAGGGCTTGACAGGCTAAGCAAGGTAGATGTTCCAGCAGCCATTAGTCTATAGGGCTTTGGGGTTCCAAAGGGCTAGTCCCTATCCCCAGGAGGAGCTATGAGACAGGGAAGTCCTCAGGAAAGCCTGGACTGGATGCACTTGACCACTGGTCTCTGCAGGAAAGAAAAATAACAGACAGTGAGGCAGGCACTGGTCATTCAGTGTTCTGTATAGGGTGACACCAGACAAGCCCCACTCTCTCTAGCCTTACTTCGATGTTTGTGAATCACAGAGACTGAAGGGATAGGAAAGGGAGCCTGCTCTGAGGCAGAAAATGGGAGATCCTGGACATCTACCAACAAGCTGGCCCTGCAGGGAGGAAGCCGTGCACCATCAGCTCCAGCTCCGGCATCTCCATCTGGCTCTGACTCAGTGTCCACAGCATCGGAGGTGATGGTGTGGAAGGTTCATGCGTTCATGATCTTGGCTCCTTGTGGCATTCTTTCTCTTCTCTGTCTCCTAAACTAGCCTGTCTCCACATCACATCTCCCACTGGCTTCCACTTGTCCCTATGATCCCTCTGGACCAATCTTCTTAGATTCCTTGTCCCAAATTTCCCTCTACTCCCTTCCAAGTTGGTATATGATCAGGTTGCCTTTCACTGTGGACCCTATGCTGCTGACACGGTACAGTGGCCTCTGCTTAGTTTCATGCACTTTTCTCCTGCTCTGGCCCATGATAGGAAGCACTTCCCGAGTCCCCCCTTGGGAGTCAGGGGTTTGACATCCAAGCCAGGGATAGGGGGGAAAAGGGTAGATTTATTTTGTTTGGAAGCTTTAGAACCATTTCAGAGAGATCCTGCTTTGACCTCACCTGGATCTGGCTATACTCTGACTCACAAAAGCAAAGCTTCAGAGGATCACAGTATAAATGGAAATACTGGGTAGTCACAGTGGGGTGCAGAAGCATAGGACTAAAGCCCTAGCATCTTGAGGGATTCTACTGCTGGATTCTATAGATGATCTTCCCACACTGTGGGAGCTAATCACTAAACTTGGACTTGGAAGTGGCTTTTGCTCCCAATGGAGACTATAACACACCACCATTTCCTTTGAAAGCTGCACATCTCCCCTAGCGTGCAGACCTGAGGATTCCCTCAGGAGACTGTCCATCAAGCAAAGGAATGGCTTCTGTCAGCACCTGCCCTTCTCTACCTCAGTCATCATATTGTCCAGCTGTGGCTCTGGGTACAGCCTTCCCTGGGCTGGATGAATGTCACTCCTCCTAGCCTGCTGATCTCTCAGGCCCAGGAAAAAGGGCCTATGTCAGTGTCTGCCCTCCATAGCCCTCAGAGGGAACCCAGGTGAAGTATACAACAAGCCCTCGGAAAGTGATGTCAGGACCAAAAGGTTCCTAAGCCAGCCAAAAGGAGGGGAAGATTATTGCCTCTTAGGGCAATAGAGCAGATGTCTGACAGTCTGTGGTCCAGCATCTTCCTCTCAGCCAAGTTGTTTCTAACATGCTTCTGTTCCTGGGGTTCTATACTGCTACTTAGTTCCCATCTTTCTCCAGTTCACATCTCCAGCCACCCCCTCTGATGGTGGGACCTACCCTGCCCCATAACTTAATAAATTCCTTCTCTGCCATCCTGGTCAAAGCCGATGTTTGTTACTTGTACACAAAGTATTGTGACTGTTCTAGAAGTGACAGCCCCACCCAGCTCTGAAGGCTGTGCCTCCAGGACTCTATCAGGGAGAATGTCAACACAACACACTCTCACATGTGCACACGTGTGAGCAAACACAGACAGAGGCTTCCACCCAGTGGCACCAGTGGCTCAGCGCCATCTCTTCACGTGTCAGCACTGGGCAGCCATTACCGTATGAGCAGTGTAAACAGCGCCACCTGCCAACTTGACCTCTCTGGCAATCCTCACGTGTTTTCACCCTGGCTGAGGACAGTTTTCTCTGCTGGATGGCATGCTGACTTAGATTCTTGTTGTCAGGTATGCTAGGCCACTTCAGGTGAGGAGGGACAGGAGCTTCTACAGGAACAAGTGGCCAGAGGGCTGGAGGAACACTTGGCAGGGTGGATGTGGGCTGTCGGGCCCTTACAACACACTGAGGCACAGTCTGTTCCACCTTGTTTCTGTCTAGAGCTTGAGTCTCCCTAGTCTCCACTCAGCAGACCCACTCACTCTTGACTGGATTACCTCATCATCCTTTCTAAACCGCAGCTCCAGTAGGGTTGCTTCTAGCATCAGACATCACATTCTCTAGTAAGTTGAGAGTGCGGAGGGGACAGCAGCCACATGTAACCCTGAGCAAAGTAACCCAGGTCTCTACCTGCAAAATAGGCTTAGAATATCTCCACAGTCCAGCCCTGACAGCCCAGCTATAACCGGCTGGGATAAAATACTCCACCCCTTCTCAAATAATAGAATGTCTGTTGGAATCCCCACCACTAAGTTTCTATTCCATGAGCTTACACAGACATACGTAAACAGTAAACATTCACATGGGCAAATTCACACACACACACACATGCATGCACACATACTTAACGTATACACAGATACACATACTCTTTCACACAAACACGCACTCATACATGGGAACTTACACCTACATACACATACATACACAAACCTATACTCATACACAAATATACAAACACTCCCGTGGTACACTAAAACACTCACGTCTTCTGCCTCTCCCTCTCATCTCAGATACTTCTCCAAAGTCAGCTGGATACAGACAGTGTAATACCCGTCTTACATTGAAACTGCCTTGAAAATCCCTGAGTTCAAGGCACTTATTCCACCTCTGCAGAAACACTCTGGGGCTGCCTTCATGGACCACACAGCATTTCCAACCAGAGACAGCTAATCTCAGAAACCAGAACTTTCTGAGGCATGCAAGCAGAAATGACCACTCTCTTCTCAGGGACATGCAGGACAGAAAGCTGTTCACCAAGCTGCTTCATGATATAAAGCCATGATAATCTACTGTCTAAGTGCCCACAGACCAACAAGTCCATGCTCACATAAGTTCACGTAAGTGTCACAGGAACTATGAGGTGCATTGTGTCTCTCCACCCAACTACATTGTCCCCATTCCATCTTGCTCAAAACCCCCGGACATCCCTGCTTTGACCCCATTGTGAATCTGAAGAATGCTAGACACCAAGATAGACATCCTATCCAGTCTCATGCTCCATCAATGACACCATCCCCGTCCTTAAGAGGGGGAGAAGAGAAAGACAAAAGGCAGAACTGAATAAATGATAAGAAGGAGAAATGGAGCAGACAAAAGCAAACTAGCAACTAAGTAGAGGAAGATATGAAGAGAAGCATGTATACATATGTGTGAGATTTCTGTATGTGTGTTTGCATAAGAGTGTGCAAGTATTAGAACGTGCATTTGCTGTGTATGATTTGTGTGTAAGTGTGGTTGTGTGCACATGGCTACCCATCAGCACTGCTCAGGATTAATCATGCAGGCACGTGCACAGGACTCCCTATAAAGCCCCCCTCAGGCCCTGCTCCCACTTCTATCCTCCATGAAAGCTGCCTGATGGAAGCCTCTCAAAATGGAATCTAATGTGAGACTCATAAAAGTTGGTCCGGCAGAAACTTCGCTGCCTCCATGTGCTTATGTCTCCTGAATGGACTCCCGACCTTGGATGCTAGCATCTTGTCCAAGGTCAAAGTCAGACTTCTAAATCTCCTCCATCTCCAGCAGCATCTATATCTCCTTGATACCTATGCCTATCAGATGGCCACCGAACCCGTAGGAGCTCATCTCCAAGTCCTTCCACAGCCCAGACACAGAAGTCTGACCTCACACAGTGCTCTGTGCTTCTCCCTTCTCACCTGCGCCTCCACCACCCTGTGCACCTGTGGATCACTCTCTGCCCAGCTGTTATCTGGGCAGAGCGAGCTGCCCCTCCCCCTTCCTCCGCCCACAGATGCCAGCTGCCCTAGGCAGTGATGGATCTATGCAGCCCGTGTTCCTTGCTCCGAGCCTCCTATGAAAAGACTCTTTGTCATCCTCGGCTGTCCTCAATAGCTTTGGTTCATCCTGGGCTCTCCGTCCTGAGCCTCCACGGGTCCCCATCGCCCTGCCATTGTACATGTTGCACTAAAGGCCTTTTCTTGTCATCCTTGGTTCTTTTTATTATGGTGTCCACAAGACAGCCTCTGAATTGCACAAACGTGGTTCAGAACCACTCCATGTTCTTCTGTCTGGGAAAAAAAAGAGAAACTCCAACACCTTCCCACTGTTCTTCCAGACCTCTGATTATATATGATCCTATGCTCCTGAATGCTTTCTGACACCAGGATCCCCAAATCAGCAGGGTAGAAATCTTACCATGGCCCATCTTTTCTGCCATTAGAGCTACCAACCAGTGTGCTGCTATCGACCAATACATCAAGGGCTATATTCTGAGAGATTCATTTTTCTCCAGTCTTACTACCCACTCTTGGGTACAAACCACCTACTTGCCATTCCAATGTCTGAGGCTCTGGCTACATTCTCCATGCAATCTTGCTGTCTGTGCCTTTGCCAGTTGTCTCAGCTTCTTTGGAATCTCACATTCTCATCATTAGGGTGAAGTACATAGGCTTGAGTGACAGAAGACCTAGATTCCAACATTCTCTGCCATTACCCACACTAGGACCTCTGTTTTCCAACCTCCAAACAGGAACATTTGAGTACTGGACCTCACCGGGTTTTCATAAATAAGTTAGATCAGTATCTCTAAAGTGCCGAGGAACCTGGCTCGGCACTCAGTTTGTAGACAAATTGTTGTTGGTCGTATCACAAGGGGACAGAGTCACCTCATGGTCCCCTTTCTATTTCCTGAGAATTCACATGAAGTAGCACACAGCCTGCTAAATCAATGAGCAAATAGCCAGGGAATTTATTTCCCTTTTGTTGCATGTACAGGCAAGAGTATTCTCAGTAAACAAATGTGTGCCTCGGGATTCTGAAAGCCCAACACCATACCAACTATTGTAGATCTGAGCTGCAATTCATAAACTAGTTCTGCTCAGAGG